TTCTTGATTGCACTAAGGATAGAGCCTATAGACAATTTTATAATTGGTAGGGGCTGTATACCAGTCCCTAAGGTATTGGTAACTACTTGGGAGGGGAGCACCCCTTGGGTTGAGGAACCGCTCGGCGCGCCAGGGGTGTGCATCGCCATCGGCGTGATGGGAGCCTCCTGTGGTTACAAGGTTTGATAGGATTAAGCCTGCCGGGGCAGGGGAAATAAATAAGGAGTATATGTGAATCGTCCCTTGGAAAGTTGAATGTCTGTTTTATATGTGTTGGTATTTGTGATCGCTCGGGATAGAGAGGAAAAGAAAACCTTATTCATATAATAAGCAAAAAGCTATGAAAAGAAAAATGCAATTAATAGTACAAGAAGATGTATAAGAAAATGTATATATTAATAAGTAAGAGAAAGCTCAGATCCAAAATGAGCGAGAGGAAGCTCGAATCTATTCTTTGTGAATGCTATGGTAGTGATAACTATAGGGAACTGGATACCCAGTATAAAATGTACAAGTACCTCTATTTTCAAAACAAAGAGTATAAGTAGTTGTAGAGATTCCAAAAACTAGGCCTATTCCAATAACTACTCTAATCCGAGATGCTCTGAATAAAAGTTGTAAGAAACGATTGAGAAAGATCTTTAGTAATCAGATTGTTCAGCATATAGTTATACTGTATACTACCTCCGCACATTTTAAAGATCTTCTAGTTAATGACTATAATTCAATATTTGAGGAATCAATAGAGCTGGAAAACGCTATGCGAGGGGATATCCAAGTATGAATAGAAGTGATTAGAAATGAATTGCAGAGTTTTAAGGATAATAATACCTTCGAAATTATGAATGGAGCTATACTTGCAGGCCGAAAGCTATTAAATAGCAGATACATTCTGGGAAATAAACTAAATTGCTTTAGTAAGTTGGTTAGAAGAAAAGCAAAACTAGTAATCAAGGGGTATCTTCAAGAATATGGAATAGACTATCAAGAGACTTTCGCTAGTGTAATAAGATATTCGATATTGCATATTTTATTAGTAAAAGCTGTAGTAGAAGATCTAGAGATCGATAATATAGATATTGATATTGCTTTCTTGAATAATGAGCTAATGGATATAGAAATCCTTATAAAAATGCCAGAATTTTTTAAAGAAATCTTCTTGAGATCAAACTCAAAAGCAAACCATATCTCAAACTGAAAAAGTCACTTTATAACCTAAAACAAACACCAAGAGTTTGGTGAACTATAATTCGAAAATTCTTTAAAGAAATTGGACTTGAAGAATCAATAGCAGATCCGAATCTCTTTACAGGAAACGGAGTATATATCCTACTATATATAGATAATCTGCTGATAATAGGAAATCACATCAATATAAATTCGATAAAAAAGATAATCGGAAATCGATGGAAATATAAAGACTTAAACGAAACCAATATATTCCTAAACATTCAAATAAAACAATATTGACGAAATCGATTACTTAAGATATACCAATCAAATTATATGAAAAAGATCTTGCAAAGATTTGGGATTGATCTTACTAATACGAAAGATTTGCTCTTATCTCCTAATATAGTTATACAAAATACAAACGAAAATGAATTTCTTTATTAAGATAATACAATATTATATCTTCAGATTATTAATAGTATTATTTATTTTTCGAACTATATTCAATCTGATATAGTATATGCTATTGGTCAACTTGTTCGTATTATATATATACTAGGGGAAAGTTATTTAGTACTTACGAAACACTTGCTTCAATATCTTACTAGCACATACTCAGTGGGTATAGTCTATTCAAATCGACTAAATATGCTTATATACAAATATCGAGCTTATACAGATTCGACTTGGGGATCTGCAGCCGATAGAAAATCTGTTCAAGGAGTAGCTCTTATCAAATATAAAGAAGCTATAGTATAATCTTCAACGAAACAGAAATCGATATCTCTTTGTATAATGGAAGCTGAGATTATAGTAGTTAATGAAGAAGCAAAAGAGATTGTCTAAATAAAAAGCTAATAAAAGATTTAGGAAAACGCTTTGAGAAAAAGCTCTTTATTCTAACTCTATACTATGATAATGCTAATGGAATTGATTGGATGTAAGAGAACAAATTTCATAGCAAGGCGAAGTATATTGATATTCGGTGGCATTATATTCGGAAAAATATAATCGATACTAAAAGGCTATATGTAGTATGGATTCCAGAAGCTGAGCAAATAGCCGATATTCTCACAAAACAGTTTACCTACTCTGGCTTTATAACTCATAAAAAAGGCCTAGGATTAGATCTGGAATGCTGAATATATATATATCAAAGAGAATTAATAAATGCTGGCAATATATTCGGTCAAATCAATCTTTTTGGTCGATTTGGTTAATTCGGTTGGAACTAACCAAATTAACCAAATTAACCAAATTCACCAAATTGACCAAATTGACTAATTGACTAATTCAGCAAAACCCGCCGATTTTATCAATTCCAATAATCTTATCAGATTCATCAGCTTCATCAAATTCATTATATCCATTAAGTTTATCAAAAATCATTCGAATTAATTGAATTAATCAATTCACTGTTATAGCAAATTAACCAAATTAACCAAATTAATCAAAATAAAAAGATCATGTGGGGTAACAAATAAGCTGGAGATCTGTTCACATATAATAAGATTTAAATGGTTTATTATACTAAAAAGGTAACTCTATGATTAAAGGGTAACGAATCCAAAGCAATCCGTTGGTATATATATAAAGAGGATTTTACAAAAACAAATTGAATTTGTATTGCTAGATGGATTGAATCCGATCTGATATAAATAGGGAAAACAGGATTTAGATAAAGAGTATTCTTATATTACAATACAATATTAAATCGTAGGGCTGTCAAACTCCATTGGAGATGTAGATATTACAGGCAACTCTGGAATATTGATACTATCACAGAAGTTAATGAGGCTCTTTATCTCAATTCTATATTGCGACAACACTAGTAGAATTAATTGAATGTAAGAGAATAAATTCTATAGTAAGGCAAAACACATCGATATTCAATAGCACTATATTCGAAAAGATATGGTTGATATCAAAAGACTATATATCGTATAGATTTCAGGAATTGAATAGACAGCCGATATCCTTATAAAACAGTTTATATACCCTGGCTTTATAACTTATAAAAAAGATCTAGAATTGGATCTGAAATGCTGAATACGAATGTGTTAAAGAGAGTTAATAGTTGTATTTGGTTAAATCAGTCATCTTGGTCGATTTGGTTGATTTAACTCAAATTGACCAAATTGACCAAATTGACCAAATTGACCAAATTGATAAAATCACCAAATACACCTATTTCAACAATTTCATCAGGTTCATCAGATTCACTATATTCACCAGATCTGTCGAATTTATCAAAAATTATCCAAATTGATCGAATTGGTCAATTTATTATGAATTGACCAAATTGACCAAATTGACCATTTTAAGAAAACCATGTGGGGTAACAGATAAGCTGGAGGTCTGTTCATATGAGATTGGATTTGGGTTGTTTATTATATTAAAAAGGTAACCCTACGATCTGAAGATAACGAATCCAAAGCAATTCATTAGTGTATACACAAAGGGGATTTCACGAAAACAGATCGAATTCGTACTATTATATCTCTTTATAGTGGATTGGATTTCACCTAACATGAGCAAGGAGAATAGAATTCAGATAAAAGAATACTCTTATACTGCAATACGATATTAGATTGTAGGGTTATCGAACTCTATTGGAGATGTAAACACTACAGGTAATACTAAAGCGTTAATACTATTACAGGAGTTAATAAGGCTCTTTACAAATATATATATATATATAGAGTTTATGTGATTTAAATAGTAGATTCCTATTATAGGGGGGATATTGAAAATCACATGTATAGTATATGTATGGTATATGCATACTACTATAAAACTCCTTTTTCGGACTTTCCGGATATATAGATCTGATATATATATTTCAATATATCACTTCTTATGTGTAACTTACTATCTATTTCTGATAAGATTATATACAAGATAATATTTTACAATTTGGATTTCAAACGAATAAATGAATTCTATTATATCTAGGTATTGTATTATAAGATATTAAAGTCTTGCTAAGTATTTGAAGTTTTTTATAATTAGTTTTATATCTAAATGGATTATATTTTGAGGTTAATATAATGGAAATAATACGACTTTATCCTAACTATTTGTTTTAATAATAGCTTATAATTTAAACTTGGTTAGACTAGATCAGACCATTACTTGTCAAATACTCTAAGTGCAATAAACCAGCAAACACCATCAAAGTTCAAGGTGTTAGCGAAAAATTGTAAATAAAGAAATTATATAATATTATTAACTTATTTAGAAAAGAGATATTCTATATAATTATCGAAATTCTAACTAAATTGAATTTTCTTTTAATTTGACTCAATATTACCTTTTCTATAAAGAATCACAAGATGAATAAATAAAAAGGCATGGGTCATTAGGCTATTGAGTTATTATAAAATCATTTTTGTAATAAAAATAACTCTTCACTCTTTTGTGGAAATCTATTACAAAAATTTGTAAGCATTGTTGTTAAGATACAGGCCAATTTCTTTTTTATCTGAATTTCATTGTTAAGAAGGAAAAGATACTATTTTGTTATATAATTAAAGTTTTTTGGATTCTTTAAGATAATAGAATGAAGAAAATGAGAAGAAACTCTATTTTAATCTTGGTGTTCAAGATAAACAAATAAGATGAGCTAGAGAGATGAGATGATGGAATTTATATGAGGATTGAAGAGTATATAAACCTTTATCATTATTCTTTCAAATTCGATTATTATATTATTAATATATTTGTTTGTATTTATTCTATAAATAAATCAAATATATTCATTTATTATTCGTTTTCGAATCTATTTATTTTTTTTAAAGAAAAATTACTTTCTTATTACTATTAAAATGAAGTTCTTAGTTATCACTCTTCTTGCTTGTACAGCTATTATACAATCTGCTGTTTTTTCAGAAGCAGTTATAACTTCAGCTGATATTTCAATTTCCATTGCTTTCAATAGTATTGTTCCTGATTCTAGCGAATTTCATTTTAGTAGAAAATTTGATGTCTTCGGAATATTAGTTATATAAGTAAATGATGAATCTATACAAGCTCTTTAGAAATATATTGAAGCACTAATAAAAGTGATTGGAATAATTACTATAAAGGATATTCAGCTTTTGATTGAGATGGTTATTGAGTATAGTAGTGATATTATTAAAAACCTTAAAGAGTAGAATTAAGTAAGTTGCTTTATAAATATAGCATCCTCAAAGAGCTTTTGATATATAAAATAATACTAATAATATTTTCTAGATTCGTAAGGAATTTTCTTAAGCAACTATTTGTGATATATAGACTAGAAACCCAGATTACAAAAAATACCCCGCTGCTATCTACTACAACAAGGGATATAGTATTAAGAATCCTACTGGAATCGTCGGAAAAGTCAACGCTAAACTTTCTCTTGGTTTTCTCCATACTGATTATGACTATATATATATAACTGGAAATAATCAATTCTATACTCATGCTGAGAATGGATTTATCAATGTAAGAAATCGTTTCTATCTAATAGAAAATAATACTAATATCTTGCTAGCTTTCCTATACATATAACAAACGCTGTAATCATGACAGAAATACTAGTGATTTGACCTGCAACTAGAGAGCTTTAAAGCATCTACTTTTCGATACAGCAATTAGAAAAGGATCAATCAAAATATGTTTCAGTGTAGGCCTGTCATCAAACATGTGTATTAGGTGGCCACCTAATCCCTTGTTTTATTTTTATATCTCTATTAGTATTGGGCTTATAGATTGTTCAGTCTTTATAACCCTAAAAACTTTTGTAGTACTAGTATCTAGTTAATTGAATTGAGATTTTTTCCAGATTCTACGAGTTTATACATACTATCTTCGATTTGCTATTCAAAATAATGTTTTAGTAAGTTAATGTAACGATTCGGTCCCTTTCGGGTCCCTTAGTTATCTAGCTTCTAGGACCTTAGTCTAGTACGTGACTCATTGGTGTATATACTCCGGAGCTCTTATAGTTCTTTTCTTATTCTTTTCTTCTTTCTTTAATCTTAGATTTTAAGGTAGAATTGAATCCTTTTATAACAGTTCTTTACAATTGATATACTATAGAAATTTCTTCATTAACTAGCTAGCTCGCTATAACTACAACAAAGATATGAGAATATCTTTATATTTAGCGAGAAGGCACTATAAAGTGAATCACTATAAAGTGAATCACTATAAAGTGAATTGTCAATTTTTGGTAGTAAAGTTTAAATATCACTTATACACTAAAATATATTTTTGATTTAAGTAGTTGATAAACCTATTGGTTTTGTTTTGGTATTAATTATAATTATCTTAAAAAACTTGATTGAATTACAATATTATATATCACTGAGACCTAAGTATATAAATAAGTATATAGTCTATAATCATATACAAATGAATTTTGTATATACAATAAGTAATACACTCGTTTTAAACCACACTAATATAAAATCATATTATTTAATTTTCTTCTTCAAGATCTTGAATTATTCCTTTTGGAACTGTATAGCCTATAATAAAAAAGCGAGCTTCAGAAATAGTAATAATAGTATGTTTCTAGCATAAAAGTAAGATAGATCAATTCTTAATACTAAAGAGTAATAAACTATTATATAAAGAGAGGACCTGAAAGCGCTTTTATAAATTCTATTCAGGTGAGTGGATCAAAAGACAAACGAGGATGTTTTATTCTATCTGATGGGATAAAAGGATGATTAATCAAGCATTAAGGCCTATCAATGGGTATATAGATTGATGAGACACTTTTCTAACTTTTGAAATTCTTAATAAATTCATTCTTCAATTGTTTGATATTAAAATTCATATTCTAATTGTTTCATTTCTAATAAACAATTATTAAATTCTTAAGATATTGGATTTTATATATTAAGAGATATTCACAAATCAACTTTTGCAGTGTCCCGTCAGTCCGTACACCCACTAGTGGCCGGTTCGTCACACAATTCTAATTAAAGATTCGAATTCTTAACTCGAAGCTATTATAAATGTTATTTGAATATTTGAAGGAAAAAAAAAAAAAAAGATATTAAATAACTCTATAATAATACTAACTTCATGAAATAATATTCTATGACAATCTAAATTAGTGGGGACTGATTTCCCTGTTGGAAAAATGGTGGTTTATGGAACTATTAGTTTAATATAAGAGATAGATTATTTCTATTATACTCTTTCTTTTCATTAACCCTTTTGTTACCTTTGCTATTCCTTCTTCTATTATTTCTTCTTTCTATCCCTCTCCAACTTACCACTTAAATCTTTTCAATATTAGTATTTTTAAGAATATTAGCCTTAATAGTTCTAATATCAGTAATAGGAGTAAGAAACATTCCTTTAGCAACTATCAAAATATTAGTATTTGAATCAGCAAAAGATCTAGATGACATAAGGCTATTAGCTTGACAATTACAGCCAAGAGCCGAAGCACATCCTGCAACACCATTGCTTGAAGATCAAAAAGGATTGCTAAGAATATCGAAGATAATAGATATATTTGCTTTCTCGAAAATGTTACCTTTAACAAATACTTTTGCTTTTTTACTAATTTGGAATATATTTCCTATAATATCTAATCAATAATTGTTGATAACTTGAAAGAAAACATTTAGCTTAACTGATGAATATAAACCTCCAATCTTGAATCTACAATTATTTGTATTGTAAATATAATTGTTTTTGAAAGTAATAGAATCTTGGAATTTAATGAAGTATAATGTTTAGTAATGGTGATTATTACATTTAGCAAATTAAAGAATAAAACTATTAAACTCAGAGTTAGTAATAGAGATACGATTAAAAGCACCTGGATCTATAATAATGAATTGACGATCAATTCTGGAGATCTTGATATAATCGATCCACAAAAGATCTATGCTATCAATGAAAATAGTATCTCCACCCCAAATATACTTGGGGTTCATTTCAATAAACTTAACATTCTGGATAATGATATTCTTAGCACCTGCAATATAGAAACCTCTATCCTTAATCTTTCCAGCAAATCCAATTTCAACAATGGATTTATTAGAATCGAGCTTGATAGCATTTAAAGGAATACCAGCAATATTATAAGTGATAATTGGCTTAGCAAGAGCTTGATTGGTATTTACAGTCTGTTCACACCAGCCATTAATATCAACTGAATCCTAACCGGCATTATTGGTGTATGTGTTGGATAGGGGTGTGCAATCCTTTTCGGTTTTTGATTTCATACTATCTGTGAAATCCCAGGTTTTGTTAAGGACAATGGTATGGGCAATACTATCGGAGAGTTAGTTAACAAATTCGTTGAGATCTTTTGGAAATACAGCAGTAGTAGTTCCATTACCAATGACTGCAGTAGTGAAACCTTTAGCTTTGCTAATAATCTCTACGGCATCAACTGCAATAATAAAGAATAAAAGAATAGCGAGGGCCTTAACTGAAATTATAGTGATTGATATACTTGACTGTAAACTATATTATAAAAACAAATAAATAAATAAATGAGTGAATGAGTAAATAAGTAAATAAATAAATAAAAGAATGAATGAATGAGTAAATAAATAAATAAATAAATAAGTAAATAAGTAGATAAGTAAATAATATTCAAAAACCTCAAAATTTTCCATATTCTTATATATTATTAATCTATCTAATTATATTGTCTAGAATCCCATTAAGAATCGGATATTCTATTCTTTAATATCTCTATTCCATAAAGCATTATCTTGATACGAGAAAAAAGGATACCCAAAAGCTATACTCTTAGCGAATAATCACTTTGTTTATTACAAACAATATATTTGGATTTCTTAAAATCTTGATGAATGAATAAGTTGTCCCCAGAATACTTGACTATATCACTCATTTCGCTATTCAAAACTCCAATGTATATTCCAATCTATAAATCTTAGTCTATTAAAGGAGTACTCCAGATTTCTTAGTGATAAAACTATTTGCATATCTAATTATGGTAAAGTATATTCGAAATCATATATTCATATTAATTGATCTCTGTAAACATTTGATAATCAAGTAAGATCCTTGAATATGTTTGTGATAAATGGATTGTCCTATAATCTTTATTAATTTAATTTTCATTATCTATCAACTCCAGACGAACTGAGCAATATTCTCGAATATACTTACTTAAATAATAGTTTATACTTTTGAAAGGTTTTGAGTGTACGAGATTTTTTAATTTAATGAGGTTAGCTGATTACAAATATCTATAAAAAGAATAATTATACGATGAACAAGGTTTCTCAACTCTAATTCTAATTATTCTTGTACTTAAGGTATTTAAGATTATTATGCAGAAAAGCTTAATGAGAAAAGCTAATTCTAACCATACTCGAGTTGTGATCACTAAACATCCCGTTGCCCCGTGCTCACCTTGAGACCCTTATTAGTAAGCTTCAGATTTTAAATTTATTTAATTTCAGGATATCAAGTTAAAGGGAGAGTTCTGTTGCTATGTAATTTGTATGCAATGAATAGTGTTGTGGGTAATATCCATTTACTGTTCTTCATTCTGTAATAATATTCTGAAAATCAAACGAATATTCGAGATGATTGAATTTAATGATTGTGTGTCGAGGGTGTATACTTATCCGCATTTCAATAATAATCATATGACTTAACTAGCTATAATATATCAAATTTACTAAAAATGTATTTAATCTATAATACAGAGTATATACTACAATTGATTTTTATCGAAGCACGCATCAAACTGACCGCCTGTTATTTCTAAAAGATGGTAAAGTATGAGAGCAGTTATATATCTCATTGATTAAGTATTTTCTTTTAATCAACTAAAACAATATTCAAAATAATATTACTGAACTCTGAACCATTTTGAGTCAGGACTTTATATTTCAAATCAGAATTAAATAACCTTTTGGATTGAGAGATCTGTATGTCAGGTTTTGTGGACTCATGATTTTAATGAGAAAAGCTTGTCTCAACCTTATATTAATCCAAGCAATCAAATATATATTGATTATAAATATCAAATATAGCTTCTATCGGGATATCGATCATGTGATCAAAAGAGGGCATTGATTAATTGATTAATTGATTGATTTCATTTACATCCATATTCAGTCTAAGACTATATAGGACGGCTAAGTCTCTAGAGACTCTAGCAGATAACTTTTTATTCTACAAAAATGGATATATTCGATTTAGAGAAGTGAAAACAAATATTGGGGATTAGTGCCCGCTTATTATATACATTATATATAATAAGGAAAAGAAAGTATAATACTTAAGAAATTAGTAAGAGACTTCTCTCTTCTTCTTCTTCTTCTTCAACTATTATTCCTTTCATTTTTGTAATAACTCTTTCTCCCTTTATTATTACATCTTCTTCTTCTTCTACTACCTCTCTTTCTCCTGTTTCGTTTTATATTAGAGCTCTAACCAAATGTTATACCTTTATAGCTATTTTGATAATATTGATAAATTTGATAGCTAACTCGATATCAATTTTGGTATGAAATAGGAATTGTATAGTGATTTTGGATAAAGGTATCTTCTTAAAGATTTCTTTTCTTTTAGCTTTATATATGGGGTAGCTAATAAGGAGGT